CCCACCCTGAGGCGCCGCCGCGCCACCCCACGGGCCGCGCGCCGCGCCGCACGCCGGTGTGTTTGTCAGTCTGGATGCTCCGGGCCGCCCGTTCGCACCGCCGTGCTGCTGCTGCTGCCTCCCCCGCCCCGGCACGACCGGCACCGCGTCCTCCACGTCGCGCCCTCACCCAGCCTTAGCCATGACGCCGTCCCCGGCGGCGCCTGGCATGGCGTCCGCCACCGTCCTCGTCATCGTCGGCGTCCTCGCGCTGCTGCACGTCGCTGGCACCGACTACGTCCCCGGCGCACCAGGTGAGCGCCACAATCGGGTTCACTCGCGTCGCCGTGGCCACGGCCCCTCGTGCGGGCAGCGTGGACAAGACCCATTTCACGCTATCCAAACCCACCTCTCCCGCGAAATTTGAATTCATAATCTGCTGGTGGCCGCGCGCTTCCTGCGTTTTATTGGATTCCATCGCACTCCACACGCGGCCCGGGACTCGCCGCGCCGGCCGCCAGCGACGCCTCGCCATGTATAATGCATTTTTATTTTCCAGCAGCCAGCACAACAATAGCGTCGGGCTTTGGGAGGGTTCGACAAACTCGGAAAAGCGCGCTCAAATCACACGCAAGAAGTCACATTTTGAAGAGGTTTGATCCCTCGGCGGCAGCCCTCTGCTCGTTGCAGTTTCACGCATGCCGGGACTCAAAACCCCCCGAAAAGTTTCTTCCCCTGCCCTAGCCGGCCCCGCCGCCCGCCCTCGCGATCGGCACCCCTGCAGAGTGTTGTCTGGCGATGCCATCCGTCTCTACACTCGCACACACGGGACATTTCCTTCCCATGCACCCACCCCACCCCCTCCTCTCGCGGCGTCACTTTGGCAGAGCCAGGGGGAAGCGCCGTCGTCTCGGGGTGTGCATCAAATCCTGCAACAACTTTTCACGAAAGCGAGCGGGGCGAGCAGAGCGGCGGCGCGGGGAGGGCCGCGCGGTGGAGCGGGCGGGGTGCATGGGGAGCGGGAGGACGGCTGCGCCGGGGGACTCGGGCTTTCGCGTTGCCGCCGTCCAGCCCCACGCATGACAGAGGTCAGCGGCGAGGAAAAGTTATGCCCAGTTTGCCGCGCCCGCAAAAGTGCGCGTGCGGAGGGAAAAAATAGGAGACCTGATTTTCCTGTTCCGTTTTATTCGTTTTCACTTCCTGCATCGGCGCTGCGGGGCGTCGTCTGCATCCTCGCACCGCGGACAGGAGGGTGACGCGACCGCAGCCGCGTGCGGTCCTGACCGCACATATATGTCCGCCGCAGACAGCGTCGCTCGCCGCGCCAAAATGTTCCAGGTATTCTTCGCAGAAGCGTGTCCCCGTGTCCTCGCCGCGTGGCGAGGTGTGGCGGGTGCGGCGGGGCGGGTGCGGCTGGGCGGGTGTGGCGGCACTAACACAATAGTGACGCAACAGAATTGCTGACAATCGCGCCCATTGCATTACCCAAGCCCACGCTGCTCGCTCGTTCGTTTGCAGCGTGCAGCCGTTTTGGCGTATTTCCACGCGCGCTC